CATAATGTGTGGGAGTAATGGTTTTGTGAGTTAGCAAATTTGAAATGGGAAGCAGGCGTTTCTTTTGGAGTAGGGAGAAGAAGACGAGAGTCTTCCATCCTACTAACCTATTTATGTGGCTAACTTATGTGTTGTGCTAAATGTTTTTGTTTGTTTGCATTTGAATTTCAAGGCTAGTGATACTAATTGGTGCTGAGTCAGTTTACCAGCCTGCACACCCAGGATGCACACAGAATTAAAAGAACACTGACAAACAATTATATCTCATTAAAACCTTAGAGCACACTATAAACCAGTTATTATAGGCAGCACAGTGGCTCAGTGGTTAACACCATCACATCAAGAAGGGCCTCCATTTGAACCAAGAAACCAAGTTAGGAGCTTTCTGTGTGGAGTTTGCAAATTCTCTGGTTTCTCCTACCCCTGAAAACCATGCTGTGTTAACCCTGCCTATGTGCAGCCTACCCTACTGTATATGTATTTATACCTTCAACCTCCTCGCTGTTCCAAATATTGAAAAGCTATAAATTGAAGTACAGCTTCACTTATAAATACACGATGTGGTTGGAGCTTCTTCCTCTCTCGTCCTCTCAGTGTGTCATTGCTTTGTGTGTTCCTGTATCTCTGACAGCCTGCGTGCACATGAATGCATGCTCTCACACACACACACACACTGAAACAGATGTCGGCTCTTCCTCCTCTTGTGTGATGTGGAAAGCAGTTGCTGCTGCCCACCCAGGCGTATCCATGGCAACTGGACTGTGGTTGGCTGACAAGGCGGGGACAGTGACATCACTGGTCTCATTCAAGGAGTGCCACAGAGATAATAATGCTGCTGACTTCTTTTGTAGAAGTGTAGCAGGAGAGTTAAAGTCATGAGCCTGGTTCTCTGTCTTTCCCACCCTAAAACAACTAGCTTTCCAGCTATAAGCACTTCATTTTACTTTTCTGATTTTGTTTTTCTGATTTTCACAAGTCTAAATTTATTTGATGGATATTCTTAATACTAATATGTTAAATATTATGGTGTTTTACTCATAATTAACAAGTAACAGACCTCATATAGAGTCTGGGATTAGGTACAACAGCTGCAGTTTTTCCTCACTGAAAAACTACCAACCAGTGTAACAACCCTCTCACCCAAAACTAAAGTTTACGGAGTTTTATTGTTGGCATGTTAAAGGTTTCCCCACTAGAGGGTGCCAGACACCCACATCACTAATACCAGTGTCACTCTGTCTTTACTTTTTTGCCCGCATTGCATTTGCAAAGAATAGACTAGTTGTGTAAAGGGTGTTTACACAAATGTCCCGACATTGGTTTGAACCAAAGATTTCACATTTGGTGTCACCTCTTCATAAGATTTGTTGCCACTGACATTCAGTCCAGTCCTTTTGTAATTTGGCAAACTTCATCCTCCCTTGCTTTCTTGCCTTAAAAATGGCGACTTGACAGCCACCCTTCCATTGAGACCATTTCTAATGAGGCATCAGTGAACAGTAGATGATTTAGCTGAAGGTCTGGATGCATCTTTTGGGTCCTGTATCAAGATTTTGATATATTTCCTTCCTATTTCTTAAGGAAATTACTTTCAGATGCAACTCATCTAATGTAGATTTTTAGCCCTGTCATTTCTTCATCTGTCCTCCTCTTTTCCAGTTTCCTCAGATTTTTTTAAGCACACATTGCACATCACCCTAAATAACATGTGT